TTTTTTTAGAAAGAAATGTCGATAAATAAACCAAACATAAATGCTATCATGTATACTCGCTGTCTTTTTGTATATCCAGCTGGAAAAAAAGAGCTTAACTCGATAATTTTAACATATCATCACTATAATTTAACATTTTTGGAAAAGTAATTATATATTCGGTAGCCATTAATTCTCTACAACTCTATACATGTAAGTTTCGAATTACACTTGTTCACTAAAAATATACTCAAGCGCAGTAAAGGCATCCTCTTCGTCAGACTCCCCGAAAATGCATGTTTTTCTTTTTCATGCATGTTTTCAAATTTATTGTTCATATAGAAACAAGTTATTACAAAACTAAGTGTATAATCTGAAAGTACATAAATGCCTCTCTCACCCTGTACTTTTCCTGTCATTATTGGCTATTATTTGATTACAAATGTTTGGTATATTATTTGTATATCCACGTATGACGTTTTGAGGAATCGCATTCGATGCTTGCTGAACTAACCATTCTAAATGTTGATGAGAGTTTGGATGATTTCTTTGCACATGCCTATTCATCTAAGACCATACACTCTCAACAACATCAAGATCCTGTCCAATAGTCGTATAGTTATCCATAACACTAGGTTATACAGTGATGTATGTACCTAAATTATATACTGGAGAAAATAGAAAGAAAAACAAAAAGTCAGAGAACAACCACGTGTATAACATTTGAAAAGAAGCAGAGCAAAAATGACTCATTATTCTCACCCTTGTGTTGTGTAGATAAAAACGGTTACATATGCGTATGAAAACAAACTGGCATATCTCTCTTGAAGATTTCAGAATTTTCTTCTTCGGTGCTATTTTCATACACTTTCAGATTTTATACTTAGTTTCTAATAATTTGTTTCTATATGAAAAGTAAATTTACAAAAATGGGATGAAAAAGAAAAAAATGCATTTTCAGAGAATCTGACGATGAGGATGCCTTTACTGTGCTTGAATTTATTTTTAGTGAACAAGTGTAATTCAAAACTTACATGTATAGAGTTGTAGAGAATTAATGGCAATCCGAATCTATAATTACTTTTTCCAAAATGTTAAATTATAGTGATGATATGCTAAAATATAGAGTTAAGCTATTTTTTCCCGGGGGATATACAAAAAGACAGCGAGTATACATGATAGCATTTATGTTTGGTTTATTTATCGACATTTCTTTCTAAAAAAATTGGCGTAATGGATAGGCTGATGCACTTGTAATTGTGAAAGGAGTAAATTGCTTAAAAAAATTGAAAAGTATTAACAGACAATCGAACAGTTTGTTACATATAAAACTTCTTTTTGGCACCAGATTGTATAATTAAACTTATTAAGAAAATCTTGATTATGTCTGACACGCCGTCCAACGTTCGTAATTACTTCAAATTAGAACTTTTAATAGCTCGTTCGCATGTCATACTTCGTCAGATGTTTAAAAAGCGATATTCGCTATTCACTGGTGGTCAAATATGGGACGATTCATCGGCATGTGGAGGTAATTATTCAGTTAATGTCATTGGAAAAAGAAAAAATATTAATTTAACATCTGTACAAAAAATAGCAGTTCAAAATGGGGATTCAAATGAATGGGATTTAACAACATTAACCGCTCTTTTATTAAATAGTGACCGTCCTAAAACTCTTATCGCAAGTCAAATACAACAATTCGATAACGAAGATGTACTGTTAAATCAATTAAGAGATATTCGTAACATGTTAGCTCATCATAAATCAAAAAATATTAACGATATCGAATTTAATCAGCTATGGTCTAAGGTAATGGTTATTCTAGTAGCTTTGGGCGGCATAAAATGTGAATTAGAGGAATTAAAAGGTGACAGTGTATTTGATCCATCTGCTCAATCGACAAATGAAGAAAATTCGAATGAAGCTATGCGTCTAAATTCATTAGGTAGGCAAGCTCATGGATCAGGTCAATTTAATGAGGCTATAACGTTATTTACAAAAGCGATCGTCTTATCAGGTGTTGCAAATCAGAGTCGTGCCATCATCTATTCAAACTTAAATTCTACCCGTCTAGCTCTCTATGAACAAAACTCAAGCTTTTTATGCATGCTGAATATAGAACAGTCGACAGATGAACGGTATCGTGCATTACAGGACGCAAAACAAGCTCGAATTCTTGCCCCTACATGGTGGAAAAGTCATTTTTGTGTCGGCAAAAGCTATGCTATTTTGAATGAGCATGAGAAAGCGATCGTTTCATTTGAACGAGCATTAGCTCTCGATCCCAGTAATAGTGAAATACGTGAAGCACTCGATGATAGTCGTCACGTACATGGTCAACAATCGCGACGCGAACACCTTGATCCAAGACTTCAACCAATAACAATGGAAGAGCACTTAAATGAAATGAAAGAAAAAATAGGTATGGATCCACAAATAATACGATCAGGACACCAAGTTTGTGAAAAAATGTTTCCGTCTGAAGCTGATGTGGTCAGAGGACATAAATATGAACATGGTGATATCGATGTTAAGCAAGATTATGAGCAAGCTGCTAAATACTTCGCTAAAGCAGCTAGGCAGGGTAACACTGAAGGAATGTATAATTTAGCTCGATTGACAGATAATGGTTTAGGTGTGAAAAAGGATCACAATGAAGCTTTTAAATTATACAAACAAGCAGCTGCACAATCACCACAACATCCTATACTTAAGGGTGTCCGAAATACCGGTGTAGCCGAAGCTGAACATGCTCTAGCGCTGAAATATATGGAAGGTATTGTCGTTCACAAGAATCTATCAGTAGCTACTATGTGGTATCAGCGCGCTATTGATCATGGTAGTCCTACAGCAGCCAACAATTTAGCTATAATGTATCAGCATGGCGAGGGTGTCAATAAAGATCTTGACAAGGCCAAAGAACTATATGAATTATCATCAAGAAGAGGTGATCCAAATGCTATGTTAAACTTAGCCGAGCTCTTATTGGATAAAAATGACCTTGAAATGTCTCGAATTTGGCACGATAGAGCCTGCGAAGCAGGCAATATACAAGCTCAATCGAATCGTCACGATTTTCAATTACTTTTAAATATCAAACAGCAGTATTTACGTCATCATCAACCGAATATTGTGGGAATGAGGAATGAATGCGAAAATCTCGATTTATCAAACACAGTAAAGCCTATTAAGAAACTTTCTCATAGTAAACTTGTATATAATCTTGACGAATTGAATGAATATGGTGAACGTGGCTCAATAACCGCTAAAACGATGTACACTGCTTTGCAACATTTTACTCAAGCTTCTAATGTACTTAAAAAATCACAAACTTTAACGAAAGAACAAGAAAAGCAATTCGTATATGAACTTGCACAATGTTATCGTACTGAATATAACGTAGCTCCAGTGTCAAGCGTTGAAATACGTGAAAAAGCGGATAAAATTGTTGATCGAATACTCGAAGATTTTGCTACTCAAACAGATGCTATGCCTTCACAACTTGATGAAGATGTTCGAACATGTTATGCTACATTACATAGAGAATCTAAAGAACTAATCGTTCAATTTCTCGAACCATGCAAACAGAGGTATCCAAAATCGATCTATTTTTTTCAATTAAGTGCAGCATTAAATAGTTTACTAGGTCATTATGAAGCTACTTTGTATGATATTAATGCTGGTCTCGAGATAGATCCAAAGTGTTACATACTTTTGTACCAAAAAGCGGTCATACTGAATTTCTTCGATCTTCAACCAAATGAATTGATCGAAGCTCATCGAGCATTCTTAGCAGTCGCACCCAAGGATCATCCAAAAGTTCCCGAAATGTATTATGCAATGGGCACTTATTATTTACTAAACGATGAAGGTATGGTACTGATAGATACAATTAAAACAATTTATGAGCTTGGTCAAGAAGCAGAAAAAATACAGTTGCCATATTTCCTACCGTATGAATCTAACATAAGAGATAGACTTAAAAATGTATTTGGCATACAAACTCCTCGAAATGACGAAAACGTCGTACTCTCTACTCGTAGAAAACGTCTAACAAATCAGCATCGAATTGAAATTATTAAAAAGCATCGAGAATGGATGGCCTACGCATTACAAGTAAGGAATAATTCAAAGTTGATCCTTGTATCTGAAACCCAGAGACCTCGTGTTAAGCAATATATAGCCAAATCATTAATTGGTTTGAAAGCTATTTCAATAAGAGAAATGAACCCAACGAAAGATCATGTTTATAGTGGCTATGTTTTATCGGTAACAATTATCGAAGCAGCTAATGCATGGACTCCATCAATTCATCTTGTTGTTGAAGATGAAAATTTTGATTCTGAACGAATGTTTGTATATGGTTTTCTCGAAACACAAGGCGAACGTTTAATTAATGAAGTGTTTACAATTGGTAGTAAAATGAACATAATTAATCCATATTTACGTTTAGGCGCTAATGATCATGAACCCTTAGTTCGAGTCGATGACTTTGCATCGATCATTATGCATAGTGAATCTGAAAGAATAATAAATATGTGTCGTTGTTGCGGAGAAGGAAATGCATCACATGTTTGCGGCAAATGTAAACAAGCGCGTTACTGTTCAAAAGATTGTCAAATTATGGATTGGAAATTATATCAACATAAACTTATATGTAAAAAACAGTGAATAATATTATCATTTATCGCATATTATTTCCTTTGAACTTATGATTCATTTTTGTGTTGCTGTTTCATTTCATTTAAATACCTAATTAAACTTTATTTCAATAATAAAAACACAATAAGTATTTTGAGTTATGAATATGATTAGTATTTAAAGAGTATCAGTTTATTTCTCACAAGACTTGTTCTTATTTTTTTACATAAAAACCTGAGT